AATCAGTTCGAGGTATTTTGTGTTGCGAACGAACGAATTTGAAATATAACTTGTTTTTGAGAAAAGTTTAAGCCATCATATAGAATGATACTGCAAAATAAGATTTGACAAACACATTTGTATATCATTTCATGACATGTTGTCAATAACCTCCTATTTGTAAAAATCAAATTGTAGTTATAACGTTTTAGGTATAACTGCTTATGTAACCTTATGTAACGTAAAACTGATAACAGCTAACAATCTATCGACACTAGCAATATTTTTAAACTTGTTGCCAAAAAATAAATTACATAGACAAAATTATATGCTATTTTGTTATACGGTTGTTGGCCTTGGCTGTTCTGGTAAATTAAGAGAAATATGTCCGCAGTAGTAAATGTTACTATGTAAGCTTAATGTTATTCCGTGGGATTACTGAAATAATGAAAGTTAGATTATCAAAACATATAATTGGGATAAAATCTCTGTATTAAAGAATTTTCATAACTGTTATTCTCCACTTAAATTAATTATTACCATATCTATATATATTTCAAGTATGACCTACACTGTGTTGGTCATATGGCGACTTTTAAGCCTTACTTGTGGAGAAATACCTCAGGTTCACTTCCGTGCATTATATTTCAGGCTTTACAGCTTTAAGTTCGATGTTACTGTACAATATTCAGAGAAGATTTTAAAATAATTTTAATGTAAACCAAACAATGTAAAACCCAAACAAATTGAAACAAACGTAAATGATTAGCTTTTATTGAGACATTGATATTTTCGTTTAAGTTCGGCTAAATGCAACATCGAGACTGAAGGTTCTTTTTGTAAATGTAAATATATTTTCAGTTGAAAACCAAGTTTGTTTTTCAGCTTAAACTACTCTGCTTATTATAAAAATCAATCTGATTTACACTAGTGATGAAAATGGCGTTGTTCAATAAAGATGTTTCTGTTATCGACAATGACATATATTGGCAATACTTTATATACACTATATACATACTAATTATGTTATATATATGTCTGGAGTATACAAAACAAGCTGTCATTGTTCTACTTCTCCTCCAAATTTGTAATAATAACCATTATATGACATTTATGATTGATTAGTGATCACTCAAGCAGCGATATCTGATATATCAATGGTAATGGATTCAGATATGTAATAGTAAAGCCTGCCATCAAGGGTTTTTCTTTATTGAAAATAACTCTTTGTTAACCAAAAAATCGAAATGCAACCCAGGCCATAATAATTCTGCTTTACAACCCCATACGATAAACTATTACTGTTTTATCGAAATGAACAGAAATGAGAATTCTGACAAGACGTACAGTTTATATTTTGTAATTTTCTTACTTCGCGCATTGAATAAAATTCACATGTAAATAATTAAGTTTGTTTGTTCTAATTTTTGTTATTGATGATTAGTTAAACAAGCAAATTCGTTGAATTTATATCCACCGCCGAGTACTGGTTATTACTAACACAACAACTGAAGACATACGGCTTTATTTATATATTAATCATGGCATAAACAGTAATATTCTTTGAACTTGATAAATAGTCAGGGCAATAACAGAGCCATAACTCTGTGTTAAATAGTAATATCTGGAAATGCCAATGAGATGTATGCATACTGCATAACTAATCAAGGGCCATAAATCTGAGTTATAAGTATCTGACCGGAACAAGGCGACTATATGCACATCTCCTTTTAGTATCAAATAAAGTTTCATTGAATTCCAGCCAGTAGTTACAGAGAAGTAGCAGGGAAACGATTATTGCTCTAGTTGTATACTGCATAAGTTATCAAGGGCCATAATTCTAAGTTAAAATGTCTGACCCGAACAAGGCGACAATATGCACATCTCCTCCTAGTATTGAAGTTTCCAATAAAGTTTCATTGAATTCCAGCCAGTAGTTGCAGAGAAGTAGCGAGGAAACAAATATTTTTCTGTATGCATACTGCATAACTAATCAAAGGCCATACTCTGTGTTAAAGTGTCTGACCCCAACAAGGCAATGATATGCGCATCTTCTCTTGGTATTGAAGGTTCCCATAAAGTTTCATTGAATTCCAGCCAGTAGTTGCAGAGAAGTAGCGCGGTAACGATTTTTGCTCTATATGCATACTGCATAACTAATCAAGGGCCATAACTCTGAGTTAAAGTGTCTGACCGGAACAAGCCGACGATATACGCATCTCCTCTTGGTATTGAAGGTTCCCATAAAGTTTCGTTGAATTCCAGCCAGTAGTTGCAGAGAAGTAGCGCGGAAACAATTTTTTCTCTATATGCATACTGCATAACTAATCAAGGGCCATTTCTCTTAGTAAAAGTGTCTGACAGGAAAAAGGCAACGATATGCGCATCTCCTCTTGGTATTAAAGATTCCCATAAAGTTTCGTTGAATTCCATCCAGTAGTTGCAGAGAAGTAGCGCGGAAACGATTTTTACTCTACATGCATACTGCATAACTAATCAAGGGCCATAACTCTAAGTTAAAGTGTCTGACCGGAACAAGCCGACGATATGCGCATCTCCTCTTAGTATCCCATAAAGTTTCATTGAATTCCAGCCAGTAGTAGCAGAGAAGTAGCGAGGAAACAAATATTTTTCTATATGGATATTGCATAACTAATCAAGGGCCATAACTCTGAGTTAAAGTGTCTCACTGGAACAAGCCGACGATATGCGCATCTCCTCTTGGTATTGAAGGTTCCCATAAAGTTTAGTTGAATTCCAGCCAGTAGTTGCAGAGAAGTAGTGCGGAAACGATTTTTACTCTATATGCATACTACATAACTAATCAAGGGCCATAACTCTGAGTTAAAGGGTCTGACCGGAACAAGCCAACGATATGCGCATCTCCTCTTGATATTGATGATTCCCATAAAGTTTCGTTGAATTCCAGCCAGAAGTTGCAGAGAACTAGTCCGGAAACGAAATTCGGACGGACGGAAGGACGGACGGACAACGCCAAAACTATATCCCACTCCCGATTCCATCGGCGGGGGATAATGATCACAGACACGAAAAACATTGCTCTAAATAATTGTGCGAAACGATTGAATCAAAGAAAAGTTTTTTGTAATTATCTCAGGCAACTGCGAGAATTGTTACGTATGTCATCCATATGAAATTATTATAAGGGCAAAGTCACACAATGCCAAATTATTGTTAGGAATTTTTTTTTGTCAAATAAGGGCGTTCATTAACGAGACAAACTTTTCCGTAAAATAGATGTCCTGTCTGCAGAAATACTATCCTAACTTGTATTCCAGCATGTTATGTTATACATGTTTGTGTTGTTTTAGTTGTCTACGGTCACTGTTTTACGTAAAAAGGTGCCAAACTATAACTTGTTAAAAATAATGTATATTTTGAAAAAAACAAAACAAAAAAAAACAAAACAATATACAGATTAGGAGAATGGATTAAAGCGCGTTTGGTATATTGTAATCGTGATGATTTTTATCGGGTATTTTATTGATAATTTTACCCAAAGAAAACTAAGGAAGTTTTATGTTCAAAAGAAAGAATCCATCTAAACATGTAATGGATAAAAAGCTTACATGTCTTATATGTAATACAATAGGTTTACCCCTTATCAATTTCACGTATTTGTTATTTTTATTAAGCTATGATTTGTTCATACTGTATTTTGCATTACATGTTTTTTGGTAATGATCATGTGTATGTTTTTGCCAATAAAATATTTAACTTTCGAATTGACCTGAAAAAAGTAAGGAATAAAATGATACGAGCTACTTACAAACATATAGATACAAAGAATATAAAAGTCACATTAACAGCAAATGCTTATTCAATATAGTCATAAAAATATGTATCAAAATTCTGTTTGGAGGAATACGAATCGTCAATCAGGTCATACTAAAAGGTTAATGCACCTTTTTCGTGCATTTACATCTGCAAAAAATATAAGGACGCTCTTAAAGCCCGAGAACGCGGGATGAGGTATAAAAAAGTTTGAGGGTTCTGCAGATGTAAGTGCACGAAAATAATATGTATTAACCATTTTCTTGCATAAAAATATACGTCTAACTCGGTAATTCCGAGTATCGTTATCTGTTGTTTTTTTTTCGAATAAAGAATCCACTTTGTCATGCGTTACCCTGTGCTAGTGATATGTCGGTTGACAGTTATGTTTTGAGAATGAATCTACCGTTATTGCAGTTATATGGCACCATTGAGGCACGCATATTAAAAACCGTGCAACATCGGTGCGGTCTTAAGTGATTGATTTTGTTCGTTGATTTACCAGCGTTTGCAATGTTTATGCAAAAATATGAAATAAATTTCTAGAGAAAATCCAAACAAAGTTTTTGTAACAATGGCGAAGAAATAAATAAAAGAAAGAAAACAAACAAACAAACAAACTAAACCGACATGAGTTGCATAATTTGAATTTATTTGAAATTAAGTATATAATCTTTGTTTTAATAATTTTCCACTGTATCTTGAAGAAAATAGGTCGTGAAGAATAGGGCTCGAACCCACGATCCCTATACAGACACCTAAACCACCAGGTCGTCGATCTCCTTAGGCATTGATTAGTGACATTAGAGACAGTGAATAGTGTTCATAAAGAAATTAAAAAAGGAAAAGCTTCTCAATTTTTTTATAAATAAATAAACATATATATTTCTCTTTGATACAAAATAGCTATAAGTTTCACGATTTAGTAATTTTTCTTAAATTCAATCATTGCCAACAAATTTGTTATTTTTTTCTTTACACAAAACTCTGTCTGTTCTAGTTTTTTATATAAAGCGGATAAAGTAGGGATATATTTTCAATTCTACAAACACATTTCAGTTGTTTCTTTAAAATCGAAATAAAGAAAAAAGGATTTGATATACATCTATCTTTTTTGTTTATTATATAAACATTAACCTGCCTATTTAATACATGTCCTGCATATTTATTATTCTTTTTGTAAACGATTTTCTTCTTTCTCATTTCAGGTCAATGTTGTCGGGTCCAGAGCCAATTGCCTTATTGTTTTTTAATGCGCAGAATAATCAACGAATTGAAGAACAATTCAATCAGAAACTGTATAGAAAGACATACAGCATTACATCGGGGATAATCTAAAGTGATACAATCTCAATAAGTATAATATTCAAGAATGCGAGCGACACACAATTAAGTTATATATTATAGCATGTATGGAAATATTAATGGATTATACTTGTATTTCTTATAATGATTAGCTCTTCCCGCTGTGCAATATTGTAAGAAATAAATCAATTCGTAAAACATTCCCACACCATTCCTTATGGACAATACTTTACGAAATAAGATTAGCTTTCCGTGTGCTAATCTATTACACATTTGTTAGTGTTTCTATCACGGATTGTGTGATGTACGTTAAATCCAGATTATAAAATAATTTAATCAGTTCAGAAGTATATGCCAGTGACAACAAATTGTCCACACGGTTTTACAAATTCAGTGTATTTGTTAAGGAGATTTACTGAAGAATAAAACTATTTGAGCTGTTAAACTACAAACATGAGTGTATTACATGATTATATCAGTGGCGCAAATGGTACCAATATGAAAATAGATCAACGTTTGAACAATATAAAAATCATAAGCCTTGAAGATACAAACATTAGCAGCTATAACGAAACACCTACTGCAGAAACACTGAACCAGCTGAACGCTAGGTATGCAGAAGCATTACTTCCGTTTACGGTCATCCTCGGATTTTTTGGTATCATTGGAATTATTGGCAATTTACTAGTTTTTATTGTTTATGGGTTTGGGAAACAATTTAAGGACAAGAAATTTCGATATTATGTATTGACTCTGGCATTTATTGACTTTATAACATGTTTGACATTGATACCAGCAGAGATGATGAAACATGTGAGTTATTTCAAGTTTACAGAAAGAGAATTGTGTAAAACAAAATGTTTTTTCAACGTGTTTGCTGCCTCGTCGGCATCATATTGTTTGACTCTTATTGCAGCAGACCGCTACATTATGACATGTCATCCAATTTTCTTCGCTAAGCTACAGAAATACTCGTTCAGTTTTGCTGCCAGACTATGTATACTGATGCAATTTCTAGCGTTATTGACGTCATTACCTGCAGCATTTTTGTGCGGAATTACACAATCAACGATGACAGGCATTAATGGGTCTGAAATCAATGTTTACCTGTGTGAAACTGAACCTTACTATGAGTCTAACCCGCTTAGATATATTTACCGCATCCTGCTGTGCGCAACACAAACAAGTATAAGCATTATCATGATAATACTGTATGCCCGTATCGGCCACGCTGTTAGGACAGTTATGAAAATTCGTGAATGTAAGCATGGTACGATAAAAATGGCCGAGTTAAAATTATACGGTGGGGAACAGTCTAATTCTGTAACACATGGTTGTCATGCATGTTCACAAAGCATTCCCAGCAAGATCAAACTATTATTTGTAGTGACTGTTGTGTTTATAGTAACGTATCTATGTTACATGTCGCTTTCATGGGTAGACCAAACAAAACTTTCGCCCACCCAATTTTTCTTCTTCTCTGTTGCTTTTCGTTCATATTTCATTCATAGTATCATTAATCCATTTTTATACACAAAAATGGATAGGTATTTTAGGAACCGTTGTCTGAAATTATTTAGACATTGCCTACGTTGCTAAATCGTTTTATATGCTTTTGAATAATAGTATCATCTAACTAGTAAGCTAACTTTAGAAATACATACATTGTATTACAATTTGTAAAACGAAATGGTGTAAAAGAATGCTTTGAATCTCCTATATGCCTCCTATATGGAAATTTTAAAAATTGTATTTTTTCCCAATTTTGTAAATGTAATATACAAATGTCAAAATAGCGATCCGATTGATTTGATCATGTGTTACATTCCAGGTTTATGATTGTGATGTGTAGTTATCTTGTGTGTGATATTTTATTTGAAGATGTGCGCATATATTTGGTAACAGTGAAGTATCAATATGAAAAGTTCAAGTATAATTATAGAATAAATATATTTCTATGTTTATAATTCATTTATTTTGTCTGCTTCATGGCTGTGAAACGGGAAAATAGTTAAATTGTTTGTCAGGATAACAAAAACAATGCGATACTAGAAAGACATCAACTCTACAAGATGAATTTACCCGAACCAATGGCTTCATAATTCAGACACATACATACCATACTTGGCTAGTTTCTTTTGTCTGAGTTATGTCTCTTTTATTACTGGTTAATCTAAACCGGCATGTTTGATATATCTCAAATTCTGCATGTACAAAGGGCTTCATAATTTACACACATAAAATGTGCATGATATTTCTTAATTGTATAACTATGCAATAAAATTTCTCAGTTATTAATACAGGAAGAGATCCATAGGTGATATAGATTACCATCTACAAAACCTGCCTAGTGATTGAATAGCCAATCTAAAGGGACAATTTAAGAGACAATTTAAGTTCCTCAGCTTTGGCTGAAAGTACATTAGCACGTGTGTTTGGTAATTAACTATCACTACTTCAATAGACTAACTATCTGGTGTTAGCAATACAAATAAATAGGAAAAATCTTAAAATACCGAGTAGATAAAAAATAAAAACCCATCAATTTATTTCCGTTTAAAAGCGGTAAACTGACGTTGCAAATGAAATAGCTGGGGAAAAACTGTTTTTCTCGTTGTGTGTATAATAACACCAAACTTTTTTTTAGTAATTTATATCTGTTAGTAATGTGGATAAAAGCTAGCGAATAATAAGTCATATTCTTTCGTGTCTTGTTTTTATTAGTTAATTCATATAAATTTATTGTAAGAATTTTTAGGTTTTACAAAGATTAAGCATATAGTACATGTTTTGACAGTTTGAAGGGAAAAAATTGTTTTACTCGCATAATAATGGCGTACTACTAAAAATTTTTAAAAGTGACGAATAACTGGATATGATAAATGTGTACCGTCCTGAAAAACAACTGAACCAAATAGCAACAATGAAATGGCTTAATCTTTTTTTTTTTAAGAAATATTATATGTATGACAATGGTAAATGAATTATCGAGGACTTAACTCTATTTATAATTTTGGAAGCAAACTGTTATTGTAACATAATCGTTTGTGTGTACCTAATTAACACCGATAACTTTTATTTGTAGTAATTTATACATGTAGTGACATAGGGGAGCTGAATAGAAGTAGCGTGTTATACTAGTCGATATTCTGTTTCCGTTTTAGTTTGATTTTAGTAAATGGTATTCAAATAATATTTTATACAATAAAGGTACACTATGGCGACAACGATCCATGCCAAATACTAGTACATGTGTATTGTACAAAGGGGTTGAATAATTTGAAATAATTTTAATGAAACAAGTAATAATGGCCTTTTAACTGACTCAAACCTCATTTTAACTGTTAACGGCATAAGTGGCTTTATAGAAGCTCCCTTATGTGTACGTTTGAAAAAGTCACCACTGACATCCAAACAGCTGTAATCAATGCTTTTAGTATGCTAAATGTATTTTATCTTTTTTTTTGATAATTTTATTCAAGCTCGACTTGGAATAATGCGTCTATAACGAATATTAGTTTTTATTACAGAATGATACACAAAATAATATGAAATTGATTGTTTTATGGAAGTGATCCGTTATTATGTTGATGATTCTCATATTATGCACCTATGGATCTCTTCAGCACATATGGAGCTCAGTTTGAATTTTAAACGGAAATTCCTTTGTTTCAAGACCGATCTCAATAAATGTTTCAATAAGGGTTTGTTTGATTGTAAGGCATCCTTTGGTGGCAAGATTTTGTGAATCCGTTTAGCGTCATTTTTCTTCATACACAATGCGTATTATGGGCACAACAGAACCGGAGACGGAACGAATATCTCGATGAAGGCTGCATAAAAATCCGAGCAAAAATTGATAAGTATATAAGAAAGTCAGGAGGGTAGAATCACATATCGATTTTCTTTTAAAAAAAAGAAAACGATTTGAATTTTACATAAATGTTTAAAAAATTAAAAACTAAGTCTATGAGTTACCTATTTTCTCTTACACATATCGAGGTATAGCGAACATCTGGATCAGCAGAAATTCACATATAAATTTACCGATGCTCAAATTTTAGATCCATATGGGGTTCCATCACTGTGTTTAGTACGGATATGCCTGTGTGGTGTTCTGCCTTTGGGTGGAGCCATGCGTCATTTAGTAAACATTTTAATTCCTAAAGTATAACATGCAAGCATTCAAGAGACAAAAACTTCTACATAAAGGAAAATGATAAACAAATGATATACATGTCCAATAGAATTCTTCTATGGAGGGCTTTTCGTTGCCAAAATTCCAGACATGATTAACCGTTCATTGTATTTGTGTCATTAACGAACAGAAATTATCTCTGTCATTATGGTTATATAGACATGTTTGAATTTGCACACGAGTTTTTGCATTAGTTGTTCTTGAAAAAATACACTTTCCTTTTTACTATAATACATCTACATTTTAATTTTATATGACACGTTTCAACCCCGTAACAACCCCGAAATATTCTACATATTTCAGACATGCTTAATATAAGACAAAATGTACGGTTTTTCGAGGTAGGAGTTTTCATTATTGAATGACGCACTGCACTAAGCTATGATCACACTCTCTTCTCGTCCCTTTCCGTCAAACTTCGGATAAGAACATCAAAAAAGTAAGAATCTAACTTAGACATGTAAACTAATAGTAATGTATTGCTGGGAGTTGTTAACTAAGTCTATTCCAATATTTCGAGTATAAATCCACCTCAATAAAGTAAATTTATAGATATAAAGGTAAACACATACTTATCATAATGGTTGTAGAAATCGAAAGTGCACAATGTCTACCCGTTAACAATAATTCGGATATTACTGTACATCATTGGGAATTTATATACTAACTTTTATTATAGGAAAGGGCGCCTACGCATTATTTTCAGTATTTCTGACTAAATTCCTCCGCTTCCAGACAGCAATTAAAGTATTGAATATAGTTTTTTCGTTTCATTATCTACCGGGGAGGGCCGACCGCTAATGTTGTAAGAACTTGGGCCCAACCCGTTTGCTTTTGCTGTTTAAAATACATATGAATTTTGTATCTGTATTGTATATACATGTATATAGCAATAAAATATGATTAAGCACAAAAGCAATTAAATAGCAATTATTAAACTATATAATAATTATTATATAATCTTTATTGAAGTCTCACCGATACATAGGAACATATACAACATTTCTATTACAAATTTTATAACATGAAATTATAAAGTTGCCTGTACAATCTGTTCAGAATTGTAAGACTACAGTCATACTGAAATGGAGATAACTTCTCAGCCCATACTGCGAGTACTTCCAATATGTGCTTAAGAGTTACCTTTCTTTTCCACGCTTATTTATATTAACCGCTGCTTACCTTGTTTAGAAAGAACTTCAAATGCTCATAGCGATCTCGGTAAGAACAACCCATGTTTAACTAAATGTCATTAAAGTTCTTGAATTAATTAGCAAGTGTTTCTTTTTAACTCACATATATTTATTTCTTAATTAAGTCTTATCAGAGTATACCGCTCCAGTCTAATGGGAGCTACATCACATCTAAATTAAGCTAATGCTGATCTATAACTTTAAGAACATATTTTCAGTCTCATAACTTGTTTTACGTAATCTGCTGTTCTTAAATTATTTCTATCTCGCCGTGAAAGACCAACCTCACTATTAACATGTTTGTGTCAAGATATAATAATTTCTTCCATAGAAGCATTCAATAGTTTTTTACAGATCTACTTTTGTAAAAATGCATCATATCTATCTAACATTTCCATTAATATATTTTTGGCAATTGCACGTGCCATTTACATGGGGCCTGTTCTCTACTAAGGGGCCTCTTTTGTCATTTTCTTTTGTTTATCGCATGACCGCCACAACTTTCCTTTGAAGATCGGCGTTCTCTAAATTTCAGTATTGGAAAACTTTGGGTGCTCTAAATGAAGTTTCAGTACGCTTTGGGGTGCTCTAAATGAGGTATCAGTACACTTTCTCGCGCATGCCCAGTTTATTATTTTATTTCAAATTATAAAATGAGCATACCTGAAAAAGAGAAAAACAATACTTTACACAGTTTACAGACTTTTTAAAAAAAATATTTATATATCATCTCGATTTTGTTTATAAAATCTAAAAATGCAGTTATTATAAAGATGTTGACTCCAGTGGAAAGGAAAGTAATCGCCATTTTCTGCATCCTGACCTCGAGGACAAATCTGACACAATGGTCAAATTATTCTTTTTTTTACATTAAACAATGCCTTCGTTTTACAGGAGATTCTGACCAGTAACCCATTCAGTAAATCACTACACGTATATGAACATAATATTCTAGCGTTATTATTAAGTAATAGTTATAGAATATTAACGAGGACTTTACCGGCTGGTATCAGCGCATGGGGCGACAACAAGGGTCAATCATAGGAAATTAATCGAGACGGAACGTCGAGATTAATTTCCATGATTGACCCTTTTTGTCGCCCCATGCGCTGATACCAGCCGGTGAAGTCCTCGTTAATATTCTGTAACTGTTTTATCGCATGACCGCCACAACTTTTTTTTAGAGATTTTCGCTCTCTCGTATTATCGCATGATTTAAACAAATGATAATTTTAGAGATACACATAGAAATACACCCATTCGGTGCCTCTGCTCCTTCGCTGCCAGAGATATAGTGAACCCCTAGAAAAATGAACCAATCACATTCGTTTGCGCTAAGCCCTAGCAGTTTACCTTATTCAGCGCCAAATTCTTGGCATTTTCAGTTTGCCCGTCGTGGAACAAATATGGAGTTAGATAATGATGATTTTGTTTTATCGCAGGCTTTGGACTTGTTTGAAATAAGCACTACGTTTAATAGTGAAAACGTTACACAGGATGATTTGTTACTTTCACAGACATTAAGTGAAATTGAGTGTAGTGGTGTTTTTAATGACATAGGCCTACTGAAAAGTAGTCAAATGGATACTTTTGAAAATGATGTACAATCGAACTATTTCGGCAACTTCCAATTGATTGACTTTGACCAGGATTTTAAGCAGGAAGAGAAACCCTTCATTAATGAAAAAAGAGAACGTTTTGGAGAAAGCGTGTCCGACTCTGACCTTGATGCGCTGGTTCAAGGTCAAAGAACACGGACCGTAACACGCAATGGGATTACAATACATTTGAGGCGTGGAGAAAAACGAAGCCAGGAATACCAGTGTTGGAGGAATTGGACATAAATATCCATTTGTCGAGGTAAGTTCATGAATCTTTCTCAGTGTTAAATATTAATTTCTACCTCGATTTCAAAATATAATCTAGAAAATCCTCTAGTTTATATTTCAGAGATATATCGTAATTTTATGTTGGGAGTAGTTGAAAAGTTTATTTCGATTATATCAAGTAAAAGTCCGCTAATATAAGTGAACTCATAGATACAAAAGCAAACAATACATTATTTTATTATTTATTAATAGGGTTGTAGACACGGAAAGTACTAAATGACATCTAGTAGCATTTGATTAAAATTGTACATCAGTGGGGATTGTTTAATTAAAAAGTGTTGTTAGACATATTTTCAATCATAATTGTACCGAAACATTATTTTCCTTTGGATGTCAAAATATACATTCGTTTTACATAACACACACTGTTTCTGTTTACATTAAAAACCACGTGGTAGAACTACTTTCAATCAGTATTGTTTCCGATGTTATTATAGATAATAGCCGAGGACGTTCCGATTGTGATTCACTGACTGGCTCTTCGGTCAGTATCTCCTGTTAAACATAGGCATTGTTTAAAGCTAAAAATTAAAAAAATGATCATTGTTTCAGATTTGTCGTCGAGGTCAGGAAGCAGAATGGCGATTACTTTCCATCCGAGTCCCTCTACCATTTAGTATGTGGCCTTCTTAGAAAGCTGCGAGATTGTGGAATATCTGGCATGAACTTTTTGGACGAGAAAAATCCTGATTATGCAAGGTTTAGGAGTGTACTTGATGCACAGATGAAATTTCTAACGAAAGAAGGCGTCGTCGGCAAAAGACGGGAAGCTCAGCCCATTTTAGAAGACGAAGAAAAAGTTATTTGGGAAAAGGGAGTATTTGGTAATAAAGACGCTCTTTCTTTACAGCACACTGTTTTCTTCTATAACTGTAAACTCTTCGGTTTAAGGGGATATGATGAACACAGGAATTTGGAAACTGATCAGTTTGAAATAGGTTCAGATTCTAATGAAAAGTTTATAGTTTATACAGGAAAGAACTCTTAAAACGTATAACGGTGGCCTGAAACACCGCCGTATTGAACCTAAAGTTATAAAACACTACAACAATCGGCAAAACATAGTGGATTACTATGACCAATATTTGAAATCCGTTGAAGATGGAGCGTTTTATAAGAGACCAATTCATTCCCAGAAGCCAGGAGAAGTGCGTTTTTCAAATCAAGTTGTAGGCGTGAATAAACTTAAAGGTTTTATGAAAGAAATATGTCAGCTCGCGGGACTTGAAGGTGTTTATACTAATCACTCCGGAAAAAAGACTTGCGCAACAAGTCTTTATCAGAAGGATGTACCCGAACAAGAAATCATGAAACGAACAGGCCATCGATCCGTGGCTGGTGTCCGACGTTATAATAAACCCAGTAATGAAATGTTGGTAGACATTTCCAATAAATTAAATCCGCCAGAATGGAAATCAACGGAACAGGTCAAAAGCGAAACGTTGAATAAACCATCAACAGAAACGCTTCTACATGACGCAACACACGCAAGTGATGACGAATCCAAAAACAACCAATCAACCGCTTTGAAACCCGGAAATTTGTTCGGGGGAGGACAACATGTTTATAATAACTGTATTTTTAAGTTTTGAAGAAGAAAAAAAAAAGATAGACATGATTTGTAAATTTGATAAATAAAAATTAGTTATTTCAATGTTTTCGGGGTTTTTTTTGTTTTTTTTTTCAGGTATGCTCACTTTATTATTTGAAATAAAATAATAAACTGGGCATGCGCGAGAAAGTGTACTGATACCTCATTTAGAGCACCCCAAAGCGTACTGATACCTCATTTAGAGCACCCCAAAGTTTTCCAATACTGAAATTTAGAGAACGCCGATCTTCAAAGGAAAGTTGTGGCGGTCATGCGATAATAGTTAAGTATAAATCACTACATTGTCGTTAGATTTAAAAAAAAATACGCGTACAAGATATACCTCTGAAATATACACCGGGATACTTATCGACAATATTTCTTGATTATATTTTGAAAATGAGCTGGAAAGATGATTATTATTTCGCATTTAGAAAAAATGCATCAACTTACCTCGTGAACTGGTTATTTATGTCCAGTTCCTTCAACGGCATCTAATGGGTGTATTTCTGTGGGTATTTCTTAAAATATTTATATGTTTAAATAAAGCAAATATTATGAGAGAAGGAAAAAGTCGTGATGGTCATGCGATAAAACAGTTACAGAATAAATACTCGGACGTCACCGGCTGGTATCAGCGCATGGGGCGACAAAAGGGTCAATCATGAAAATTAATCTCGACGTTTCGTCTCGATTAATTTCCTATGATTGACCCTTGTTGTCGCCCCATGCGATGTTACAAGACGGTAAAGTCCTCGTATATATTCTATAACTATTACTTAATAGAGCCCTTAGGCCGCTTTTCCATTTATACGTGATCAGTGGTCCGCGTCCGTCATCCGCTACCGATTCGCTAATCAAGGAATACGTTGAGTCTATATTCCTTTTGTCCGTTTACAATCCGCTTCCACAACGGAATCCGCGACGTTTCGCAGGATGAACGATTTTTTACGGACGCGGACAGTCATGGACAGGTCTTGGCACGACAAAATGCCTCGAACGAAATTAAATACTTCATCGATTTCGAAAGAAAATACTAAAAAGCTCACCAAAAATAGAGTTGGACAACCCTTAAGTTTATGATGCACCAATGACAGATTAAAAAAACAACATCTGGTCTTCGGTTGCTAAAGATATGTTATTCCAAAACCTAACTGGTATTCAATGTTTTTCCTTTTTCTTTTTACATAATTCTTTGATGTTACAACTGGTTTCGGTATAAGAATGAAATTATGTCATATTCTACAAAAAATTATCCTCTGTTCGCTATACTATAATTAAAAGTATATTGAAAATAACGTACCTATGGAATAATACTCACTGACTACACCGGACACGGATAACGGACGCTGTCCACTGATCACGTACCAATGGAATAGCGGCCTTACTCTCTTGTTACGGAATGAACTTAATTGTTCTCTTTTGTTCTGTTTACTGTTACATGCCTCCCCTACTTCTCTTAAATTGATATTGCCAATATTTACATGATCTATTATTATTGCCTTTACAGTTACACAATTTAACAAGATTGCATTTGTGTAAAAAATGCTATGCAAAGGCATAAATATAACAGAAGTAAATTTATTTTTTGTTTCTTTACATTTGAACTCTGCTATAATGCAACAGTGTCTAGTGAATGTGGCGGTCAGTGTCATATTTTAAGGGAGACACAGGCAAAATTTTAATTTCTTTGTTTTGAATTTTTCATACATTATTTTGTAAATGTCCCCAGAATGAATACACTAGGCAGTCACAGGAACAAATCTTTTCTCATTATAAAGTATTGAATGATGGTTTTCTAACCTGACCCCGTGGGTCAGGTTAGAGCGTAAAGCTTTTACAATAGTTGTCATAGTGGACTTGGGAACGTTACAGAACATGTCAAATAAATGACTTAGTAACATTGTCCACAATATCTGTTCTTGTAACTGCCAGCTTTTTCAAGTCACATAACTTGCTTTAAAACTACTCGGTGATTCTGTCGACTTCTTAATTTCATTCAACATACGAGGGGTGTTCGGGAAGTTTAAGGACTTTTGCTGTATTTTTTCCTTAATTGTGCGTTTTTATCCATATTTCACAAAATGTAATTTAAATATGTGCTCAATATGTAGTATAACGCTCACTGACAAGAATAGACAAATACCGCACGAAACTTGTTTCTATAGGAACCGCATAACGCATACCCGGAGCACTCCGATTTTATCGTATTTAAGTTAATGGTACCGATATATTTAATTGATAATAATTTTACTAAATTACAATGGATAACGTCACGAAAAAGCACGAGCGTTAAATGCAACGTCAACGTCATTTCCTGAAAATTCTACTCGTAAATCGTTACAATTGTTTGAATAACAACGGTTTTAACATCACTGGTGCTTAGACAAATCAAGAGAAAAATGACGTCAATAGGCGACGTTGAAGTCAGGGCAATCATCAAGTTTTGTGTAGGAATAGAAAAGACACCAACGGAGACGTATAAAATGATTCAAGCATCTCGTACAACAAAGAAATGCTGTAGATCGCTAGTATTTAGATGGCACGACATGTTCCGAAACGGAAGAGAGTCAAGAGAGGATGACAAGCGATGCGGTCGACCTTCGGTGGTGAAAACTGGAGTAAAAGACAAGGAAATCAAAGCACAGCTGCGTGGTCGACGCTTTGATTCCGGGTGGGAATTACAAATTGAAACCAAGAGAATAGTTTCGTCATTCGACAACATCTGGTACGTGGACACGTACGACAATGGGTCAAGAGGCATAGATAATGTATCGCTGTGAATGGAGATTACATCGAGAAGTGAGTCGATATGACGATCGGGGTAATTTGACGTTAACCTATTTAGCACTGACGTGACGTTAGCGTGCTCCGGGTATGCTTCGGTGTATGTTTTGTTTTATTTGTAATTTATTTATTGTATTTCATTGTATTTTTTACAGCTGGCTGTAAAAGAATTAAATATTTTATGGTGTTTTTCTTGTTTTTCAATTCCTATTATTTATCAAACTACAGCAAAAGTCCTTAAACTTCCCGAACACCCCTCGTATATAGATATATTTACGCTCCAAACCCAAAATATATAGAATTTAATACAGAAATTCATGCTGGGATTTTAAAAAATGTCATTTTAGCGTGATTTGAGTTAATACGATCATTTTAATATTTTTGTCATTTAATTGTCTGAGTATCCCTTTAAACATATCAAATAAATGACAATGTGCAGATGACTTGTGCCTAATGTTAAGTTACTAAGGCAATGATGCAAAATTGCAGATACGGTTATTTTTCTTAATTGTTTCTTTTATATTAAGCATTGCCAATTTCTAAAAACATAAAACACATAAACAATTTCAATTTTGTCGTGTTGGACTTTTTTAGGGATGTTTTGTTCTCTATTGATATACTTGGTGGGAATCATATTGTCTTTATAATGTGCTCATACTGTCTACAAAGCTCACATCTGTCTTGCTAGGGTTAATGATGAATATCTCTTAAAAGCAAACATTTCTTTTGCAAGAGGTCATGACCTCTAGACTTACTCACAGCTATTGAATTTTTTATACATACATTTACACATGTATAAAATACATTCCAATACGAGATGAATTCCTTTTGCTATATGAATATCTTAAAAATCATGACCCCGAGCCAGGGCAAATTTTGAATAAACAGTTTTAATTTGAACGATCCTTGTACAGGTCCACTGAACAAATGTTGAATACCAAATATCTTACCTCTAGTCTTTGTCAATTCAAATAAGATTTTTTTTCAAAACTTTTTATTATATACATGTAAGGGAAACCTATGACCCCAACCGGGGTTGGGCCAATTTTTACCCCAGGGCTATAATTGGAACAATCTTGGTAGCGGTCCACTTAACAATGTTTCATGCATAATATCTAACCTCTAGCCTTTGTCAATTCGGAGAAGAAGATATTTCTTAAGTTTTTACTTTAAATACATATAAGGAAATCCTTTGAACCCCTTGGGCGAGGCTAATATTGACCCAAGGGCTATAATGTGAACAGTCTTAATAGATGTCCACTTCACAATAATTCATGCCATCTAGCCTATAGCCTTTGTTTGTTTTGGCTTTTACGTCACATCGACACAGTATAGGTCATATCGCGACTTTCCAGCTTTACTGGTGGAGGAAGACCTCAGGTGCCCTTCTGTCATTATTTCAGGCACAAACGGGCACCTGAGTAGAACCACCGACGTAACGTAAGCTAGCTGGATAGCTTCCTCACATGAAAGAATCCAAAGTTCCTGTCGGGATTCGAACCCACAGCGGTGAGGGGGCAAGTGATTTGAAGTCAACGACCTAAACCACTCGGCCACGGACGCCCCAAGCTGCATCAGAGAAAAAGTATGGTCACATATTGTTATAAGTGTAATAGTATATTTCTCGAAAATAGGATCATCACCTTTTGACGCTATTATGTGGGGTTCTCGCTAAAATTCACATGAAATTTTTTATGAATTATCATTCAATTCGAAAGTGTGCATATCAGCTTTCAGCTTTCTACACAATCAAACTTTAATCAAGGGCAACATTGTCGCAAAATACGCCCGTCACAAAAGCTTTCGTCAGGGATGTGGGCATTATAGATATGCATATAGAGGATATGCTCTGGGCAATATCCAGATATTTTATCATCTCTAGTGACCTTGACCTTGCAAATATTTTTATCAGAACTTTGACCCCTATGTGTGACCTTTGCATTAGCCTCAGGGGCCTAAATTTTGCACACGACACTCCGCATCACCATGGTAAACATTTGTGCCAAGTTTTATCACTCTATGCATTTAGAAGTTCTGCTCCGGGCAAGCGATATTCAATGAGCTCTAAGTGTGACCTTGACCTTTGACCTAGACACCTGACACGCGCATGACACAGCCTCTCATAGTGCTGAACGTTTCACTGAATTTTTTTTTAGTATCCCTCCATATGTGTAGGAGATATGCTCTGAACAAAATCTCTATATTTTACCATCTTTAGTGACCTTGACCTTTCATATATTAACCTAAATTACATGCTTCGCACCCGAAGTAATGATATTGACAATTTTTTAATCCCTCAACAATTGACTAGATGGTCGGGACACACATTTTTATCTGAACTTTAACCCCTGTGTGACATTGACCTTGGCCGCAGGGACCTAAATATTGCATGTGACAAGCCTTACGATGGTGAACATTTGTGCCAAGTTATAATAAAATCCCGCTATGAATGAAGAAGTTCTGCTCCTGACAAGCATTTTTCAATGACCTTTAAGTATGATCTTGACTATGACCTACAGACCTGGTTTATGCACATGACACTGCCTCTCATGTGTTGAACATTTCTATACAGTTTCATTAGACTCCCACAATATGCGTAGGACGTACGTTCTGAACAAAATTTCTATAGTTTATCACCTTTAGTGACCTTGACCTTGCATATATTAACCTAAGTTACATGTTTCACACCCGTAGTCATGATAACGACCATTTGCTATCCATCCCTCAAAAAATGACTGAATGGTATAAATATACATTTTCATATTTTTATCTGAAATTTCTAATAGTGACCTTGACCTCGGCCGCAGGGACCTAAATGTTGCTCGCGACACTCAGCCTTACCATGGTGAACATTTGTGCCAAGTTATATTGAAATCCCTGTATGCATGAAGAAGTTTTGCTTCGGACAAGGGTTTTTCAATGATCTCTTTGTTATGAATACTTTTAAAGATAATCAGTGGAAACCATTCTGACATTTAAGGCCATTGTGACCTTGACCTAGATACCTGGTACCTGTGCACGACACTCCTCTTCTTAATGGTAAACATTTCTATGAAGTTTCATTAAAATTCCTCAATGCGTGTAGGAGACATGCTCTGGACACAAATTGGACGCCGACCACCCAGTCGCCTGCCAGGATGGAAACTATAATATTACCGGTTTTTTAAATGGGCGTATAAAAATTCTGTATAAACCAATAATCATTTATGTCTCTGTTAATTTTAGTTGAGTCTAGTGAATTTGGTGGTGAAGGTCATATTTCACACAGCCTAAATTTTATGACTGTACATCAAAGGACAACACAGTAAGACACAATCTAGATCAGCTGATATCAAAGTTCACTTTACATCTTAATCTGTGCACATGGTTCAAATTTCATAGCTGTACATCAAAGGGCAAGAAAGAAGGTCACATCATCAAAATCTAGGTCACCTGATATCAAAGTTTAATTTTACAACTAAAAATGTGCACATGATCACAATTTCATTTCTGTACATCAAAGGACAAAGAAGAAGGTCACTGTCTCAAAACAATCTTGATACAGGTCCACAACATTTCATGTCAAATATCTAAGCTGTAGCTGTCTCAAATTAAAAAAAAAATTTTAGTTTCTGTTTTTACTGTGTACATAATGAGAATCAATGCCCCCGGGCAGGGCCAATTTTGACACCAGGGGAAAAATTTGAAAAACTTTGGTAGAGGACCTATAGATGATATTATATAGCAAACATCAAAGCTCTATGGCTTGTACGTTCAGACAAGAGATTTTTAAATTTTTTACTATATGTACAAAGTGAAAATCAATGACCCGGGCCCCGGGCGGGACCAATTTTGACCCAAGGGCTATAATTTGAACAATCTTGGTAGAGGTTCACTGCGCAAAGTCTCATGCCAAATATTAAACCTGTAGCCTTTGTCAATTCAGAGAATTTTTACTATATATATAAGAATAACTATCGCCTCTGGTTCAGGACAATTTTAACACTAGGGGCATAGTTTAAGCAATTTTGGTAGAAGACCTATAGATTATATAATATACAAATATCAAAGCTCTAAGCCTTGTAAATTCAGACAATAAGATTTTTAAATTCTTTTACTATATGTACATAGCGAAAATCAATGAGCCCCGGGGCGGAGCCAATTTTGACCCCCAGGGCTATAATTTGAACAATCTTGCTAGAGGTTCACTACACAATGCTTCATGCAAAATATTTACCATCTAGCATTTGTCTAAATTTTATTTCTTCTTTAGGGTTCTATTTTATTCGTTATAAATTATCGAGTAACTTTTGACAATTGTGTTTTAATTTAAAACTTCAAATTTATTACGTGCAACACCCCATTTTGACCCACATGAAATTTTACTTGTAAAAGTTTGTATGCCTTAAGGCCTACATGTAACGTGTATTTATTATTATATAAATATTGTTATGTATGCAACATATTACATGTATAAAGTTTATCTCTAACAAGTTGGTATTTCCAATATTATCATTGTTCTATTTTTAGAACATATAACTAAATGTGTGTAAATAAGATTTAACAAGAACTTTCTTAACTGTTGTAGATCAGTTAAAATACACCAAAACAACACATATTTTTTAAAAAATCTTTACTAGTCTTCATCAGAAACTGTTGTAGAAAATTCTAGATTTTGATTAATGCATTATATCTAAGATAGAAATTTCCAGATTATTCTTTATTGTTGAAGTTGCTAGATTATGATTACTGTAGAACATGGAAGACTTATCTGGAATGTTCTTAGCTTAATATATATAAAGGGACATTTTTCATTCCTTTTACCTTTTAAGTCATCAGTTACTTTTAAGTCATCAATACATTTGGAGTATTATTCAACTTGGATATTAAGTAATTTATTGGAGCTTGGATTTTAAAATAGTTTAAAGTATTCTTGTGGATTTTATTGTGGGAATTTATTCTAAAGTGTTCTTGGATTTAACTTAACTGTGCTATTCAAAAAGGGATCATTCCAGGA